GCCGACAAAACCTTGAGCGCCAAGCGCGGCCGACTTCCCGTGTGTATACGAATACATTTTATAGGAAGTTCGAAAAAAGGTGCACAACAAACGCATGGCCGTATTATAAACGTATTGTAACCGGCGCCTCAGATTCTCCGAGCTTCCTATATTGAGTGTGTTGACGTTTTTGTCGGTTTTTATAACAATAGCAACCTTTCCATTGCCTTGCGAAGGGTTCGATCGCTTTGGATCGCCTCAAACAGCGCTGCTTATGTATACAGTCACTCGCTTTTTCTCTAACGATTTTGTCGAGACTTTTTTAACACTGGCGTCGAATAAAAGCGATCGTGCGCGGCGTCGTCTGCTTCCATTTTAATCGGAGACCGTCTTCCATGGGGAGGAAGCGGAAAATGCGTAGAAGCGGCTGAAGAACCGCGCTTTTTTTGCCATTCAGTAGGCGCTCCGAGAACTTTAACTCGAGTTACTCTGTTTGGAGCTGAGAGAACCGCTACTGAACGCGCCCATTGGAACAGAAAACTTGGTGACCTTTTGTCCCTCTTGTACCTCTTTCACCAATGCGCCCTCCGACAAGGGGCTTTTCGTCAGTTTTGATTTGCACAGCATTATGGGATAGAAATAGCCATGTTTCGGTCAGCTTCCTCCACGATGAGGTGTAGCCCTATCGCGTTGTTCCATCGGAACGTCGTATCGTCCTTTCATGATATTAATGCGAAAGCATGAACTGCCTCATGGAGCGAACCGACGTCATCAGCTTTGAAGCCGTGCCAAACGGCACCTACAGTTCCCTGTCTTAATGTAGCGAAGTGAAGCCACGATTTGATGGATAGGCTCCCATTGCTTGGCGCGGGTCATCAAGGAACGAGGTTCAAATTGGCTCTCGCGCGACGTAATTCCAAAAAAAAAAAAAAAAAAAAAAAAAACGCCACCAGAGAAGTTTCTTTTATGGCGGCGCAGCGCACGCAGCGACCCGGCCGGCGGAAAGAGGTGCGGTGGCTGCACAGCCCGCTCGGGCAGACTCCGGAGAGATTGCACGGCCGAGCTCAGCACGCGCTCGGCCATCGGCCACTGCCTCCCCAGTAGCCAAACGTGGCCGACCACGTCACTACGCCGCAGACGATTTAAGGGAGCGGAAGAACGACATTTATGCTTTCGCATTCACAACTTATAGGAAGCGCTTAGGTGCCCTCGAACTTTTTTCGTCACACGTAGTTCTCTGTCTTGTCATGAGCGACGCCGCTGTCAGTTTCTGCAGTGCTCACCTTGCTGTGTTGTAGGCAGCAGACGTTCCCAAGCAAAACTTCCAATAGAGGATCCTACCTGTATAAGATAGGATACTCCATTGGTCTATAGGTCCTGCAAATTTATACACCAATAGAGTCCTACCGTAAAAACAGATAGATGGGATCTATTGTTCCGTTAGAATCCCCCTGCTGTATTGGCCCAATTGAGGCCTATTGGCTTATTGCTTCTATGGAGGCTTATTGGTGTATTGGTCCATCGAAATGTCCCAATACACCAAGAGGGTTTATTGGAACATTGTCTCATACTGATGTGCTGATCGTGTCTTCATTTATGGTTTTTCGATTTCCGTTTGATGACGTCACAGTTCTGGCGTGCTGTACCGACACCCTCTAGAAATTCCAAGGCCCGTTCACCTTCCCTTGCCCCTGGCATTGACGTCACGAACCCCGAGCTTGTTAAATTCGGCGGGCGCAGCTTCGGCGCTGTAAGCAACTTGGGGCTGCATATGGCTGATCCCATTCGCCCGGTGGCGCGTTTGTTTAGGTTCCCCTGGCGGCGAGCGCTTTTTGAAACCTACTCTTTTATTTTGCGTGCGCAACAGGCTGCTGCTGCATCCCAAACTGTTGCAGTAATTAGAAGGACGGGCCGAAAGTTCGTAGCTTTTCTTTATCGAAAGATCCGGCTCGGAGAGCCCTGTGGAAGAGAGCCATCCGCCGAGATGACCTCGATTTGGGCAACCTAAGGGATCCGCAAGTACGCGATTTTTTTATTCATTAAATTCAACACTATTTTAGTTCGTATCAGACATCAGACACTGTTGCAGTCTGCAGTGGCAAAAAAGTCAGGATGCTTGAGTTTCCTTCCCTTGTCGTCTAGCCTTGCTGACTTACGTTTATGTCAGTAGGCCTCAAGTTAACAGAAATTCCTCTAGTTCACAGTGCATTACAAGATTTTCAAGTACGCGACTGTTGGAATCATATATCCAACAATATTTTGTTTCGCGTCAAACGCCAGACACTCATGTACGTCGTAGGGACCGTAAAAGAATGTTTTTTCCCCCCAGAATGGCTGCTCCCGATGCAAAAAGTCCCATCTTCGGAAAAACCCTAACTTTTACGCCCTTTGTCCCAATGTTAAAAAACGCTGTCGCCAAAACAACGACAACAAAAAAACACTTACCGTAAATTTATAAATAAAAAGTAATGCGAAAGTAACGTGCGTTACTTTTTAACGGTAACACTTTTATTTTATTTTAAGGTAACGTAGATCGGTGACGCGTTCCTTTTATTTTGAAGTAACGAGTAACGTACTTCGTTACTTTCTTATCGGTAACACCTACAACACTGCTCGCTACGCCCGGGCTACCAAGCGGAAGGAGATCAGCGGCAGAACGAAGAAAGCGTTACCACTTGTCGTGCCTTGTGATCATGAGGGTAAGAAAAATATCATACCTTAACTTGAAGGACGCTGTATGTATTTAATCAACTGATAAATACACTTCCACAGACCCACAGTCTGCTGATCCACTGTGCTGATCCCGCCGGCAGCGCGGGAAGTGGCTCGAAGTAATTCTAGGCCTCGAGTGACCTGTACGCCTGTACCGTGTCGGCCGTGAACTGGCTTGGCGAAAAAAACTAAATGAACAACATCGTACGTGAGCCATCGACGTCGGTGGCATAAACTTCACGTCGGAACTCCAGCATTCCTTGTTTACGGCGTACGGATCGTCTAAGGCAACGCTGTGCACGCACAGCTTGTATCGATACCGCTGTCGTTAAGGCTCGGGTAGCGAGCTCAAATAGTCGGGCATGACATACGACATACGGTGACAAGGAATACGGCGCACAAATAAAGCTAGAAGTGCCTCTACAATGAGCGCACGCCACATAACGCGCAATGGCGAAAACACGGAAAGCCTGGCCGCTTTTGACCAGGTAGCTTCTGCGCATGCGCGGCATTCTGGCCTTGTTGGTAAACAGAGCCGCGCCGAGTGTCGGTCTGTACAAAAATGGTTTATACCGATCACAACGGACAACAAAGATTGCATGTTCTTAACATTTTATATAAATGCAAGGTTCAAGATGACTGAAAAATTTGCATTTTAAACTAGCAAATTAAATATCTAAAACACACACGCACAAAAAAAAAGAAGAGAAACATATTGCTCTGGATACTTAAAAGGATACTACAACGAAATTTTGGAGCTTATTTTTTGGTCTATGTGTGTTCAAAGTTGCAGTATCGCATCGAACACACCAATATCTTGTTAAGAAAGTCACAAAAAGGAATTTTAAAACGAATTAAACGATTAGCAAAGATCACCCGGTGGATGTCGCTAACGCCTCGTTTGTAACACCCGTCTAAGGACCTTGAGAGGTAGTGACGGTAACTGTCTTTTCTCCGGCCACGACGAGAGAAAAGGAGAACGAGGAACTCCCCTCTTCCCGAGAATCCTTCTTGTATGACCCAGAAGTCGCTATTGTCCCTCTGCAAGATTATAGAAAAGCAGCCGCTTCGGTGGCTGGAACGACTGGGCCATCCTCTCGACGCCAGCCACGCCGTAGCTTTGCTCGTCCCGAGACGAACTACGTCACGATTGCGTTGGATATCACGTGGTCTCCGCTGGCTGTTCTCCGAGCGCTTGCCAGAGTGTGCCGTTTATAACAAAAAATACAGCCACCAGGCTCAAAATACAAACGTGCGAATGTCATTTACGGATATTGTGGGCACGACAAGCGCTGACTTACACCTGAATTTTTATTGGGAAGAAACGTGAAACCCCTCGAACCACCAAAGCACGAAACACTGCCAATCTTATCAATGTGATTACAACATTGCTTCATAAGGACACCGTTACGAAGCAATATTGTATTCACATTGATAAGATTGGCGGTGTTTCATGTGTTGGTGGTTCGAGGGTTTCATGTTTTTTCCTAATAAAATTCAGTTGCAAGTCAGCGCTTGTCGCTTACATTCCTCTCACTCGTCCTTCATCCAATTTTTGCACTTTTTTTGGTTGCAATGCATCTTAAGGCGCATTCCCACCGGCGATGTAAGCAGTCACGCGATGCGACTAGATCGCATCGCAAAAAAATTAGATGGTCACACCGGCGTGCGCGATGAGCGAGTCCAACGCCTTCTTTGACGAGTCGTTTCTCGAAAACTCTTGCTCTGAACGCCGTTGATTAGCTCAGCCGTTCCGTGACTAGATTGCATCGCAAAAAAGTTGGGTTGACTAGCGACTGCTCAAATCGCGTCGCTTTTTGCCCGCGATGGTCGCTTTTGCGATGAAAGTTATCGCGTGACTAGATCGCATCGCCGGTGGGAACGCGCCTTTATAGTACACTCCGCTTCACCATAACATGGCTAAGGGTGAAAGCTATGGCCCCCGTGAGCCAATTAAAGTGACAAAGCAAAGTACATGACAGCACTCCACGCGTGAGGAATGCACGACAGCTACATTGTGATGCAACTCGCTCTGTCTTGCGGGGCTGCAGCGTTAGCTCTTTGCCATGTTATGGTAAAACAGTTAGTACCTTGCACTATGCTATTCGGCTACTAAGAGGTTTTAAAAGTGTCGTGAAATTTGTCTGCACTCATACTTTCTTCAACTTGATTTGTAAGGTCCATGCAGTCTAGCAAGGGCTGCCCACTACACCAGGGAGTAGCACTTCAGACCATGCCACTCAGCTACATGTATACGTTCCGATTCTGGTGTGAAAGTTGCGTGCACTCATCTCTTCACCTTTGTGCATAAATGACCTTGCCATGTCAGGGACGAACACCTTACACTACACTACCCAGCAACAGGTAACTTCCAAGTGTTGCAAAATTTACCTTCACTCATACCGGTACCGTCTCCAACTTGTTTTCTTAGGGCCATACGGTGCAGAGAGGACCTGCCCACGCCGGGGATTGTCACCTTACAGTATGCCACACAATTACAGGTACTTTCTGGATGTACTATGAAATTTCCCGCACTGATACCTTCTTTGGTTCTTTGTTAGGGCCATGAAAAGACAGCTGCAAGATGACACAGGGCAAGATGGTTTCCCTATGCGTAAAGATTGAGCACCAACCTCCGAGATGGATCAAGAGTAGGGCCACTAGAAGCACCTGTATGGATAGGACACGAGTGTAGTAATAAAAGCATATTGCCAATATAAATTGGTTCAGGGTCGTCCTGTGACTGGTTACAACATATCCAGACAAGAGTAGAACGGATTTAGGCATGCCATCTGAAGAACAAAATTGCACGTACGTCGGACATCCGCAATGGGATCCCCATTGCGGATGTCCGACGGACGTGCAATTTTGTTCACTGGGGCGCTCTGTCGGATGTCCTGGGGATGTTTGTCGGATGTACACGGATGTCCTGCGGATGTTCGGTGGATCTGAATTGGATCTTTATCGGATGTTCCCGGGATATCCGAAATTGGCCTGCAGAGGGATCCCATTTCGGATGTCCAACGGATGTGTAATACTAATTTTGTTTGCTTTGGCGCTCTGTCGGATGTCCTGGGGATGTTCGTCGGACGTATATGGATGTCCCACGGATGTTCGATATATCTGAATCGGATCTCTATCGGATGTTCACGGGATATCCGAAGAAATTCTGCCCAGTAGAAATTGGCTCAGGTTAGTGCTTTGACTGGTTTACAACATATATGGGCTAAAGTAGAATGAATTCAGGCATGCCATCCGGACATCCGAAATTGCCCTGCAGAAGGATCCCATTTCGGATGTCCGACAGACATGCAAATTTGTTACCTTTGGCACGCTGACGGATGTCCTGGGGACGTCCGTCGGACGGCTACGGATCTCCTGGGAACGTCCGAATATCTTGAGCGGATATCTATCGGATGTCCAATGGACATCCAGTGGTGGGTTATGTGCGTTGCAGTGTCGGCCTGGCCTTTTTGTTGATGCGCAACAGCTCAATGCATGCGGACGAGACTAAGGCTGTCAAGTGAGGCAAAAAGATGGTAGTTTTAATAATCTACGCCACCAACCATAATTGTAGATGCGTACGGTTAACAGTGGTATGGTTAGGTTCATCACATGGGCTAAAGCTCCGATGTCGGCGGCGGCAAAAACTTACGTTGCGGACGTCGAATGAAGCAATACGGTCGGTGCCAACTTCATTTTACAACTTCCTTTTCTTTTTTTTTTTTCTCTCTCTCTTTTTGTCGCAACCGTGGTAGAAATTTTGTTTTGTGCAAAGAAGCTTCGGGGTAGTTTTGAGAAAGTCACAGCAGTTATTCTGTCAGGGTGAACAAATCTTCATTAATAGCGCAACATCCGTCAACTGCGCTTGAGGTCAATGCAATCTGTAACCAATTTTAGCCCTTTGCAACGCTTGAAAAATATTGCCCAGGGCACAGTTTCTTTTAGAAGAAGACAGAGCGTTCCACCAAAACACCCTCTGCCAGTAACAAATAAAAAAACACACCTAATTTTGAGTCATGTATTTGCGTGGAGCAGTATACCGCGAAACAGTACGACTTCAAGCGTATTCGCATCGAAAAAAGAATTATAAGTGTTCTCAAAGATAAAAGGCATGACGGCCTTGTCCTTTCGGAAGGCTGTGCACACGCTGGCGACAGTAAGCTTCCACAGTGAAGGCATAGGACTTGCTCCGCTGCTTCGACGAGGTTGTCGCCAGCGTGCACAGGCCTCCGAGAGTTTTTTCAGACAGTTCCGGTAGGTTATACTAAAGTCCCTTGATAAAATTCACGCTTTCAAGTACCGCCAACCATTGTTGTAGTAACGCGCGAGACACGTGCCACGAGCGGGTGCTACGCCGCCATTTGCTTCCAAGGGCCGCTCGCATGGGCGTACCAACCGGGGGGGCAAGGGGGCACTTGCCCCCCCAGTTCTCAGAGTGGGGGGGCAAGGCATGCGTTTTGCCCCCCCTGAAACGGCCGCCACTGGGCAGAGCAGACACAGGCCGGCGGCGCCCAAGGAATACCAAGGGCACTGCCCCCCGACCCGCGCGGGCATATTTTTAACGCGCAGGCGATACAAACCCTAGCAACGGTGCTCACGCACGCCGGATTGGCTGGTTCGTAAAGCCTTGCTCCACGAACAAGGCTACACGGTAACCTTACGGAATCCATCCGCGAGACATGGGCCGGACGGGCCGTCCAGACCAGGACGTAGGCCCTTCCACAAAATAAAGTTTTGCTTGCTTGCTTGGAGATAGGCGCTGCCGCCGTCAACATAGGCAGCGGATGCAATGCGAGTTTCCGAAGAGGTAGCGTAACTTAGTGGTGAGATGTCTGCCTCATACGTGTCAGACCCGGGTTCTATTTATGGTTTGGGCCGGCTTACTTCTTTGTATTTTTTTTTTCTCGAACATTTTGTTTTGTCGAGGCATTTGGCGATATTTACATTTCTTTTTTACCATTAACACTAAAAAAACGAATGTTGTTGACGAAACATCGCTAAACTAAATCGTATCGACTCTATTTACGGAAGTGCATGGGGGGCAGCGGGGCTTGGGTTGCCGACCGGACGCCGCAAAGCGGCGTGTACGGGGGGTGGGGGGGCTAGGTGGGTTAATAGATTTGTAATTAGCAGCCGCACACCGTCACCGCGAAGCGGCGTGAACGCAGGCGCGGGGGTGGGTTAACGCGCTTCGAGTGATACACGAGCAGCCCATCCGGCGTGAGCGTCGTTGTTAGGGGTTCTATCGTTTGCACCGTAAAAGGAGCAGTGTGTGCACCTCCTGTAGTGGGCGAGAATTCCTACATTGGAGAGAAGCGGGGACAAGCCCTTTCTTCAAATGCGTCAAGTCTCCTTGAGCTTCGGAATACAAAGAAACGCCACTATTCGGAGCTAATCCCACAGTTACTCGACCTCTCTTGCGTCGTGTCTGTTCGCTCCCCGCGCCTCGTAGCAGTGTTGTTGCAGTGGGGGGGCTCGTTAAAATTTTGGGGTTTTTTGGACTATCTAAATCACTTTCTTCCTTCCCATTCCCCCCTTTTCTACTCCGCATTCTTCCCCCTCTGCAAATATCAGCTGACCTTCCGACCTCTGTTCTCTGTTGATAGGCAAAACAACCACTAAAATTAGAAAGTAATTTGTAATTTGAGTGGAAGTCACTCGGAAAAGTAGTTAAAGTAAACTACTGATTACTAGAATAGAAATGTAATTAAAAGTTACTAAACTACCCAGAAAAGTAGTTAAACTATAGTAACTTGAGTAAAGTAGTTGAACTACGTACAAGTCTGGCCTGGCAAGCGCTCTGCGTAATTGTTTTCACTGATCTGCCTAGCCCCGCACACCATCACATGGGCCAAGAAAGGTGTAGTTTTACTGCAGAGGAGAAATCAGCAGGGTCCAAGATGGTGACAATGGAGGATGGGGGACTGTTCCAGTGGCTGATGGCTTGAGAAAGGAATGACCAATTGAAAGCGTTCGTAGAGCCAGAAGTGTGTTTGATGGTGCAGACGTTGTTGAGGCGAGAAGATGTTCGGTCGAGGGGTAATAACAAAGTGGTTTTGAGGTCGGAAATGTGGTAGTAGATTTTGTGAATAAGGCACAGCTGAGAGACTTTCCTGCGAAGCTGCAAAGAGGACATGGTTAGTTTAGTTTTTAGCGCCGAGACACTGAAAGAAAAGTCATAAGTGGATGAAATGAAGCGAGCAGCTCTGTTCTGAACTGCCTCTACAGCGTATTGATGAGGTACAGTCGATGGGTATTCCAGATGGTTGAAGCATATTCTATTTTTGGTCTGACGTACGTGTTAAAGGTTAGCTTAGGGACAAAGGGTGGAGCGATTTTTTAAGTTACGTCTGCTTAGTCCAAGAGTTCCAGATGAAGTGGCGGTAATGACTTCAATGTGGTTATTCCAGGGAAGGTCAGATGTTAGTCTTACACCAAGGTATTTATACACAGTAGCGGTCTCAATCAGATCGGAGTCCAAGAAGTAATTAAATGACAGAGTGGTTTTTTTCTTGGTGAAGTGGATTAGTTTGCGTTTATACTTGTTTGGTGACATAATCCACTCTTTGCACCAATTGTTAATTTTATCTAGATCTTCCTGAAGCTGGTTATTATTTTGCACACAAGTTACTTTGTTATGGATGACGCAGTCGTCGGCGAAAAAGCGTTTTTTTGAAGAAATCCCAATGGGAATGTCATTAATAAATATTAAAAAGAGTAAGGGCCCAAGTACGAACCCCAGGGGAACACCAGGAGATACATTTATTAAGGAAGATTCATGATCATCATGGACGTGACCTGTACACGGGAAAAAAGAAAGTCACGAATCCATGCAAACGGTTATTGGTCGAGGCAAAAAGATGATAGCTTAGAAAGAAGGCGTTGATGGAGGACACGGCCGAACGCTTTGGAAAAAAAAAAAAAAAAAAAAAACTGCGTCAGTTTGGACGTGACATTTAAGGTTAGTGTGCAAGTCATGGATGAAGTCGCAGAGTTGCGTTTCGCAGGAAAGTACCTTTTGAAAACCGTGCTGCTGTTTAAAGAAAAGAAATGGGATGATAGGTGCCTCATGATATTGGAGTAGAGGATATGCTCAAGTAGTTTGCAAGAAATTGGAGTCAATGAATTAGGGCGATAATTAGATGCGGAAGAGCGGCTGCCCTGTTTAAAGACTGGGAATTACCCTTCCCACCTTTTGGTCAGATGGAAGGCAGCTTTGAGATGAGGACTGAATGAAGATGAGTTTCAAATACTCACTAGAAATAACACGGGTGTTTCTTTTAAATTTTAGGGTTGATGTTATCGGTTCCAGCGGACGAAGTAAGTTTTGGTTTATCAATCAATGTTTTAATACCAGCGGAGTTAACGTTAATAGGATGCATGCGCTCGTAAAACTCTTCAGGGAGAGTGGGGACAAAGTCCAAGCACTCGTTAGTAAACACTGATGAAAAGTATTCGTTAAACACAGAACTATCATGCTCGACGTTGCACATCCGACATTCCTAACTCTCCCCATCTTCCTAAACGTCCGTGTGTGTCCTAACACCAGAAACCGGAATTTTAAAGGTTAAAAACGGCACGTTGCGAATATGGAACGCGCACTTTCATGCAAAGCTGACGTCAAGTGACTCAAATCGAAAAACATGCATAATTACAGTATTGTTATCTCTTCTGGTGAAGGCTAAACAAC